AGAGCTGGATGAACACAGCCGGCCAAGCAGCATCAGAGGAGCAGAAAAGCTGACGTTTCAGGTCCGGACCCTTCTTCAGAAGATGGGCTCAGAAGGATCTAGGCCCGAAACGTCAGCCTTCCTGCTCCTCTGATGCTGCTTGACCTGCTGTGTTCATCCAGCTCTACACCTTGTTATCTCAGATTCTCCAGCATCTGCCGTTCCTACTATCTCCCACCTATTATTCAAATCCCATTTTCCAGCGGTTGGCCCATACCCTTGGCTTTAATTCGCTTTTATTAAACTTGACTTTAGCCTGGTTATTAAATAAGAAACTGACTAAACTATTACAATATTTCCCACCTCTACCTTCCCCCTGACAACAAGGCTGAATATTCACGATGGAATGAAGGGCGGAACCATTTTAGGCACCGCCCACACAGCTGCCCCACCCACGAGCGGGCGGACGCTTTTCGGAGGCGGGACTACGCGCCGTCATTTCCTTTCTCCCGGGCGTGGGGAGGAACAGCCCATGGAGTGAATGAGCGAGCGAGCGGGCGGGTTGGCGTCTTGCTGTATTTATGTTCATCTGCTGAAAGCTTGTAAGTAGCCGTCGCTCTTCTCGTTTTGACCCATCGACCACATCGGTCTCCCCATTCCATCGTCTTCGGTTTGCGAGTTCGTTCAGAAACGTTTACTTTAGAGAGTGTGAGGAGAGAAAACCGTGACCGCTCAACCGAGCACGGGTGGAGGGAAGGCTTGATTGGCAGCCAGGTGAGCCAATAGGATCCGCTTTCTGTGGCAGATTAACTAATGGGTGCCACAGGAGGGTGGGTTAACCAATGGGTGCCACAGGAGGGCGGGGCGGGGTAGGGCCATTTGAGCAAGTTTGGTTGCTGTCTTGTCAGGATTTCCTCCTGTTCCAGACTCAAATCCCTGGCAGCAATGAGCAGCCTGTCCATTAGGAGTTGCTGACTGGCAACTCACGACCGTGTCCCACATTTCTTTTCATTTAGTCCAGGGCTGGCTGGCTGGCTGGCTGGCTGGCTGTGTGTGTGTGTGTGTGTGTGTGTGTGTTTTATATACACGAATCTTAAGCAGCATACAAAAGGAACCGAAGAAATCGGGAAGTTTTATTCTTGTAGCTCCACCGCACCACCGGATCGACTTTTTTTCCAAACAGACGAGCTTCACTTTTTTTAAAAAAATTAAGAACCTTGTTTCTTCTCCTCTTTCCTCCCCCATTTCAATCAATTAGAACTCAAGTAATGTTTATTCTTAAATGAGTGAGACGTTTGTTTGGCGTTTGGTACCCAACAGTGACTTTTGCAAAACATGAGAATGTATTCAGGAAATCAATGAAAACGTATTGTACTAAGAACCGTTGGTGTTGAAGCTGCATTTTTAGTAGTCCTTTAAAAGATAGAAAAAGAACTGAGAGATTGCTCCTGTTGGAAGAGTTGACATTTATTGACTGTCCCTAGTTTATTTTGCAAAGGTGGTGGTGAACTGCCTGCTGCCTTGAAATGCTGCAGTCTGTTACGTAGCCGATTTGAGAAATTTTACCTGCTAATTATAAAGGAAGTATAGTGTATTTCCAAGTAGGAAGGTGTGAACTAGATAAGGTGATGTTCCCATTCATCTGTTGATGTTGCCATTAATATTGTTTGTTAGATAAGTGCTGTCGAAGAAGCCTTAGAGTTGCTGCAGTGCATCCTTGGGTAAAACACCCTGCAGCTGCAGGGAGATGGAGTTAGTGAATGGATGTTTAATGTGGTGCATGGGCTTTTGATTGCACTTAAACAGGAATATGACAAGAACTTTATTTTTTGGTTTTTCTGATTTTTTAGAATATGTGGTGTGATCTATGTTTTAGAAAGAAGACAAGTTTCAACCTCTTAACTGCTTTGAACATATACCTTAATTCTGACAGCTTACATTTTTGCTCTGTTCCTGGCTGAGGTTGCTTCTAAAACTTATCATTTTTAGTTTGTAAATAAAACCAAATATACAAGTAAATATAAAGTGATTTCTTAAACTTGTTTAGAAATTCATGTAAAATTTCTCAAACACCCCAGAGGACTGTATATATAAGATGAATCAATTCAACTGGCATTTTTATTTTCTTGGGCTACTTCACTTTATGAGAAGCATGGGGCAAGCCATAATTCTCGCCAGTCTTTTTAACTTGTTCAAGGGGAGTGGCATCACTGGCTAGGCCAGAACTTTTATTGCCCTTCTGTTGTTGTTCTTGAGAAATTAGCAGTGCACTGTTGTCTTGAACAAATACTGTCCACGTGGTGTAGGTGCACCGAGTGCCATTAGGGAGGGAGTTCCAAGACTTTGACCCAGCGACAGTGAAGGATTGCTAATGCCATTACCAGTTGGAATGGCGTGTGGCTTGAAGGCAATTTCCAGGCAATGGTGTTCTCATTGCATCTTTGCCTTTGTTTCTAGGTGGGAAAGGTTGTTGGTTTGGAAGTGCTTTTGAAGGAGTTTTGAGTTATTTGCAGTCCATCTTGTAGATGGCACAAACTGCCCCAGTGCATTGTGGTGAAGGGAGTGAATGTTCAAGGTATTGGATGGGCGGTGGCTGCCTTAAAATAGGATGGTTCAAGCTTGTGTTGGAGCTGCTGTCATAAGAACAGGAGTAGGCCATTCAAGCCTGATCCACTGTTCATGAGATCATGGCCGGTCTGTGGCCTAACTCCATATATTTGCCTTTGGCCCATATCCCTTAAATAAATTTTTAAGCATAAGGTATTAATCGCAGAAAATTAGTAACTGGTCCATTGCAAGTGGACAGTATTCCTTCACTTCTGACTTGTGCCTTTTTGAAAGGTGGATTGGTTTTCATGAGGTGGGGAAGCCAGTGTGCTATTTAATTTCCAAACGCTATGCTCTTGTAAAAACTATGATATCCAGTTTAAATTCTGGTAAATGGATGTTACCTGGGGATTCAGTGGTAATGTCATTATGTCTAAGGTTGGTGGTTAGATTCTCTTTTGTTTGAGATGGTCATTGCCTTGCTGCTTTATTAGCCCAAGCCTCAATTTGTCGATGGCTTGCTGCATATTGATGTGCAGTCCTTCAGGATTCAAGGAGTCACAATTTGGTGCTGAGCACTGTAAAATCATTAGTGGATGATCTCATGTTTGACTTTTTTATAATGAGAAAGGAGGTCACTGAAACCGCTAGAGATGGTTGGGCATAGGACACTATCCTGAAGAACTGCTGCAGTGATATCATGGGATTGAGATGATTGACCTCCAACCACAGCTATCTTCCTCTGTGCTAGGTATGGCTCCAGCCAGGGAAGAATTTTCCTGATGGCAGTTGACGTTTAGTTTGGTAAGGTTCTTTGCTACAGTTAAATGCTGCATTAATTTTAGTGAATGCACATCCTTAGAGCCAAGCATTGGCTATGTTTGGGTTGATGGTCCAGCTCCTGTGGAGGGGACACTCCTCTATACTGTGCTGCATTGTTTGTGTCTCTAGATGAATTTGAACTGAGTCTTATTGGTGGAGATTGGCTGCATTGGGCTTATCCTGAACCTGTTCAGCAAGGACTATTCTTATCTTGAGATAGTAGGAACTGCAGATGCTGGAGAATCTGAGATAAGTGTAGAGCTGGAGGAACACAGCAGGCTAAGCAGCATCAGTGGATCTGGAAAGCTGACGTTTCGGGTCGAGACCCTTCTTCAGAAAATTCTTATCTTGGTAGTTTTGAAGTCTGACATTCATCAGATGAGATTTATCACAAGGAAATTTAGTGACTTCCTATTTTTCCCAATTCCTTGATCCAAAGGTGGGTCCTGATTGGAAAGGTTGTTCCATTTGAGATGCCAAGGTCGATGATGAGCAGTAGGGTTGCTAACTAGTTGTGAAGAGGCAACTGAGGTGTAACATAAATGGTTTCAACCACCTTGTGGGTTTTTATCAATTGGATGTGGGGAATGTTTGCAAGGACAAGAAGCCAAAGGTGTGTGCAGGATTTTGGTTATGATGCACATTATCTTCAGTTATGTTCAGTACAATTTTGTGTGTACAGCTGGCAGTAGAAAAGTCACTATCCTTGCCTTGAATTCAGCTTTTTATAACCCAGCCTAAACCAAGCAAACTGAATTTGTTTTTTAAAATTTATTCACAGGATGTGGGTGTTGTTGGCTAGGTCAGCATTTATTGTTCATCTTAGTTGCCCAGAAGGCAATTTAGAGTCAATGGAGTCATATGTAGGTCTCTGGAATAATAATCTAGTGACAATACCACTAGGCCATTGCGTCCTACAATATAGGTGTCTGTTTAATATCTAACACTAACGTGACAATCACCTATTGTATTTTCTGTGACTATAATATCACTTACTGGTCCTTGAATTATTTTTGTCCTTCTGTCTTAGTTTTATTTGAAATTTGTTTGCTAGTTGTTGAACTCATTGCTGTTGTGTAATAGAGCTGTACTTGGTATCTCTACTCCTGATGTGTGTGGCCAAGAAAAACACATGTCTTGCTCTTGATTTCTATTCGTTAACTCGGCATTGAATGCATGCAGATAGTTGGTCTTCAAAGATCAGACAACCTCAGAATCCCTACAGTGCAGGTTTTGGCCCATCGAGTCTGCAGCCATCCTTTGCATAGCATCCTACTGAGACCCAGATTCTGACCCTATCCCCGTAACTCCATAATTACCATGACCACTCCACCTGACCTACGCATCTTTGGTCTGTGGGAGGAAACCAGAGCACCTGGAGGAAACCCACGCAGACATGGGGCAAATGTGCAAACTCCACACTGAAAGCTGGAATCGAACCTGACTCCCTGGTGCTGTTAGGCAGCAGTGCTAACTACTAAGCCACAAAGATGCTTGATAACACTGAAACTGTACTTCAGCAAAGAACCAACACTGGAGGAAGTAAATTTTCAATTAGGGACTTTTTTTTTTGGTTAAGGTGAAATTGGAAGAGGATTGGGAATGATGATTGGTTGTCATGTTCAGCCTGTAAAACAAACAGGATGCAGGTTTGCAAAAATTCAAAGAGGCTGGTCACACTTGGGTCAAATAACATCTGTAGAGAAAGGAAGTTAAAACTGTTTCAGGTCTGTATCAGCTAGTTACTGGATTAATCACTAACTCATCTAACATGAAACCTTTTGGCTTTAAACCATTTGAATCTCTTCTACAACTTTTCAGATTGTGGAAGATTGGGAGGATGCAACATAGATGGATGTAAGGGAAATACACCGAGAAACAGGATTCATCAGCCACAAGTTAGTCCGTGAGGATCTTGTCAATGAATCACGTATATTAGGATAATAGTGATCCCAAAAGGATCACTTCATATATGTCAAAGCAGTAAAATGAGAGTTTGCAAGATCAGATTTGTGAAGATAATGATGAGAAATATTTGCTTAGTCAATATATTATGGGTGGTCACCAGTCACTCGATGCAAAAAAAGTCATTGTGATCTGGAGCCTGGAAAGAGGCCACTGAGTTTGTACCAGTCAAAAACAAGTACCTCACTCTTCTAATTCTATTTTCCAGCATTTGGTCCATATTTGTGCATGCCTTGGCATCTCAAGTGCATATCTAAATATACTTAAATGTTATGAGGATTTCTGCCTTGACCACACTGTTATAAATTTCTAACCATTTGTAGGTGAAATAAAGTTTCCTGTCCTTTCCTCTGCATTTTCTACCCCTTGTCTTAAATCTGTGCCCTTTCGTCGTTGATCTGCCCCCAGCCAAGGGGAAAAGATTTTCTGACCACCCTGTC